TTGTCTCACATTTGTGTTTCAACTTGTGAAATTTTTATGCCTTATTAGCACATCTGGTAGATATACATGGTTTGGCCAAATGTAATCTTTAGCCTTAAAACCAACTTTACTACTGCCCTTAAAACCAATTTTTCTCCAATAATGCTTTCATTTTATAAAGTTAAACAAATAGAACCATATTTGTCTAGTTGTTCCAATTTGTCTTCTTTTTATTTATTTTGTATGTGTGTGTGGCAATGAAGAACAATGAAGAGATCCGTACGGAGGTTTGTTCGACAATGAAGAGACCAGAATTCTTAACATCAAAGAACAGCTTGAAGATCAAGACCTGGTATTCATTCAATTTAATGTTCAATTATTGAATCTTAGTTTTCTGCTGATTATTATTATTACGAGTATTAATTTTTAGAACTGTGTTGTTGAACTATAATTTCTCTGTTTCAGTCTGAAGATTCCCTGGTTGAATTGCTTCAAAGCTGCAGATATGGATATAACATTGAAAGCACTCAAGGTAATCAAAAACATGCCTAATATATATATATATATATTACACCCAATCAACTTGTTTCTTATTCTCTCATTGGTAATATCACCCAAAATTCTGAACCCTTCTCTCTTTTACTTTCTCTTTCTAGATAGAATTATTACTTGTTTGAATTGAACTAAAAAAGAGGTTCATTAATGGTGATGGTGGGGGTGTTGGCAGCTGATGGAGACTCTCCTCAGCAGAACATACCACCTAGTAACACTTGAAACGGTCTTCACCACCAAGTAAAAATTAGCTTTTGCTTCCTCACTTGGCTGTACTTTTTTGAGAAAAAATATTTTAAGGTTTTTTGTGAAAATTCCAAGCTTTTGATCTCCAAAGTTGTGGTCTTTACAGGTTCTTGATTTTGCCTACTCTTCAAATCCACACAGTAACTACCGAATCTGATTCCTAGCTCAATTGGGTCTATTTGTTTTTATCTTTTTGTGGATTTGATTTGATACGATATATATCATTTTTTTGTCTTTTTTAATAAAAATTGTTGGAGATGGGAGCTCTGGTTCAGACAAGAACAACTCTGAAACAGAACCTAAAGCAAAAGTAGTTCCTCGAAGAGATGCTCCTCCTACCAAACCGACCTACTCTATTCCCCTAGCTGCTTCTGCCCCTTCTTGCAAGGTACCCTTTAAATTGTCCTCTATTTGGTTGATGAGAAAACTGAGGAGGAAATAAGTGGAAAGGGCTTTTTTGGGTCTTCTGATTTTTGCATTTTTTCAATCATCCCCAAAAGGAAAACAAAAATGAACTTAAATTTAGGCTTTTTAGAGATGAAATACTTTTGGATTCCACATTTTCTTTTTAGCAAGCACCGGCCTCCATGTGGTAGAAAGAAAGTGTTGTGAATCACATTGGTTTTACTCTGAATTGCAGAGACAACAGAAGGAATCAAGCCTCGACCTTGAAAGGCTGGCTTCAACAAGAAAACGGCTTCATGAGAATTACTAGGAGGCTGAGAATAGATACTTTACTATATTTTGGCTTTACTAGCATTCTATTTGGATTGTATTTTTGTCATAAAAGAACTTTTTGTAATAACTTTCACATATGGCTCCAATTTTGAGACTCAAATGGAATGCCTAATTAAACTACAATGCTATAATGTTTGAATTCTTATCATTGCTATTTTTAGAGTGCTTAACGTTACACTTTATTTTATTTATTTTATTATTTTTATTTTTAATTTTTGTGTGAAGGTAACAAGATGGTTGCCAAAAAACATATAAGCATTTTTTTTTTGTTTTTTGCGACGGCAAAATAGCGGTCGCCATAAGTAGTTTAGGCGGTCGCGAATAATTTGTGACCGTTGGTTTGCCGTCGCAAAAAGTATTTGCCACCCCCATTTGCCGTCGCATGGGCTGTCGCAAAAGGTCTTTTGCGACTGTATTTTTATTATTTGCGACGGCTTGTAGCGGTCGCACAAAGTGTTCTTTTTAGTAGTGACCCTATTCTTAAATCATAAGGGAGTAAAGTGCTTCGTCTCAAACCAAATGGAGATAAAATGAATTTCGTCCTCAAATTTCAAGGCATCAATCAAACTAAAAAATATTTCTTACAAAAAATATAATTTTTAAAAAATATTTTCATAGCAAATGGAAAAAAAAAATTATATTGAAACAAATAGAACGTTAATTATCTAAAGTAATAGATATGAATACATATGATCATTTGTACCCAAAATTCCTATTTCCATGTACTCTGATAACAGATGACAAAACTTGTGTATTTTGATTAATCAAAAGAAGGACAAATATATAAGCAATAGAATGTAACCCTAATAATCTAAAGTACTAAACTATCCTTAATGAATAATATAAACTACATAATTCACACCCCCCCTCAAACTGATGATGCGAGCGCAGAAAGTATCAAAAGTTTGCCAAGAAGAAAACAAAAACGAGCAACAGTATAAGTCTTCGTAAAAAAATTGGCCAACTGAAGAGAGGAGGGAACAAAAGGGAGAGTAATAGTGCTAGCCTGAAGATGTTGTCTGACAAAGTGACAATCTATTTCAACATGCTTTGTCCGCTCATGAAAGACTGAATTATGGGCAATCTGGACAGCACTCTGATTATCACAATACAACTGAGTCGGATCAGAAAGAGAGACACCCATATCAGAAAGAAGCCAGAGAAGCCAAACGATCTCGAAAGTAGCATGAGCCATGGCACGATACTCAGCCTCAGCGGTGGAATGAGCAACAACAGACTGTTTCTTACTCTTCCAGGATATGAGGGAATCGCCAAGGAAAACACAAAGACCAGAAGTGGATTTGCGATCAGAGATGTCACCTGCCCAATCAGCGTCAGCATAAGCACGGAGAGTCAAGTCTGAAGAGGCAGATAACATCAAACATTACAACAAAGTGCCACGAAGGTAGCGCAAAGTACGAAGTAAGGCAGCCTAGTGTGTGGAACGAGAAGCAGAAACAAATTGACTGAGAATGTGCACAGCATAGGAGATATCCGAACGAGTAACGGTGAGATAAACAAGGCACCCAACCAACTCGCGGTACAAAGTGGGATCCTCAAGAGGAACGCCATCAGAAGCAGAAAACTTAGCATGCAACTCAAGAGGAGTGTCAACAATTTTCTCATAAGTGAGATTGGCACGAGAAAGAATATCACAGGCATATTTAGTCTGAGAGAGAAGATACCCAGTAGGAGAAGTAGCAACCTCAATACCAAGAAAATACCGAAGAAACAACAAATCCTTCATCTCGAACTCCTGAAACAACTGATGCTTAACCTCCTTAATAGTACTATAATCAAAGCCAGTGATGATCATATCATCCACATATAAGAGAAGGAGAACAAGCCCAACAGAAGTGCGCCGAACAAAGAGAGCACAATCATGATGACTAGGGCGAAAACCAAGTTGAAGGGCAACAGAGTGAAATCGCTCATACCAAGCACGAGGAGACTGCTTGAGACCATAGAGAGCACGGTGAAGACGACAAACAACACCAGGAGGGTGAGAGAGACCCGGTGGAGGGCGCATATACACTTCTTCAGCAAGATGCCCATTCAGAAAAGCATTTTTGACATCTAGTTGAAACAGGGGCCAATGATGGGTAGCGACAACAGAGATAAGAGTACGAACAGTAGTCATCTTGGCAATGGGGGCAAAAGTCTCATCGTAATCAATCCCATACTCCTGAGAAAAGCCTTGGGCAACTAGATGAGCTTTGTACTGTTCCAAAGACCCATCAGAAAGGGTTTTGACCTTATAGACCCATTTACAGCCTACAACATTCTTGTCAGCAGGTAATGGAACCAAATCCCAAGTTTGAGTGTTAGCCAAAGCAGTTAACTCATCATTCATGGCGGCAATCCAATTGGGATCATGACAAGCTTCCTTGTAAGACCTCGGCTCAAAATATGTATGAAGACAAGAAAGAAAAGACTGATAGGAAAGGGAAAAACATGTATTACCAAAACCATACCAGTTCGGAGGATGACGATCTCACTTTGGGAAGCAATGTGCAGGAGGAACGGGATCCAAAGAAACAGCTGGAAGGACAGTAGAGCTAGAGACATGTGAGCTCGGAAGTGCTTTGCGGTGTTGATAAACAATAAGAGGAGCAGGAGAAGCGGGAGCTGGAGATGAGGTAGCTGGAGAGGTATTAGAAGTGCTAGTAAGAGGCAAAGTAGAGACCTCAATGTCAGAAACAAACTCATCAGGAGAAGCATTAGGAGGAAATGGGTCAACATGAACCAATTCATCCTTAGTAATAGGAACATGGGTGGAATGTATGGTGTAGTAGGGTAGTTTTTCTAAAAAAGTGACATGCCTAGACACATATAGCTTTTTGGTGGTAGGATCATAGCACCGATAACCTTTCTGATTAATGCCATACCCTAAAACGACACATAGGACATAACGAGAACTAAGCTTAGAGTGCGCCCGTTTAGGAAGGAGCACAAAGGATGCAAAACCAAAAATACGAAGAAGAGAATAATTGGGAGTAACACCAAAAAGACGCTCATATAGAGATGAGCCTGAGAGAAGAGGAGTAGGCATCCGATTGGGAAGATATGCAGCAGTGAGCACAGCTTCTCCCTAGAAAATAGAAGGGACAAAAGATGAGAGCAACAAAGAGCGAGCTGTATCAAGGAGATGGCGATGTTTGCGCTCAGCTCGACCATTTTGTGTAGGAGTGTCAGAACATGAAAACTGATGAATAGTTCCATGAGTAGCTAAATATTCCTTAAACTCAGACAAGTAATACTCACCCCCCAAATCAGAATGAAGAATTTTAATAGTGGTAGAAAACTGAGTGCGAATCATGGAGTGAAAATTAGAATATATTTTGTAAAAATCAGATTTTCGAGTCATCAAATAAACCCAAGTAAACCGACTGTAATCATCCATAAAAGCTACATAATATTGCGAATCACCCTTGGTAACTATAGGGGAAGGACCCCAAACATCAGTATTGACCAATTGAAAAGGAGAAGATGAAATAGAATTACTTTTATTAAAAGGAAGAGCAGACATTTTAGCCAGTTTACAACCACGACACTTAGAAATATCACTAATGGGAAAATTACCTAAATGTCCAGACCTAACTAGCATCCTCAACCGATAACTCGACAGATAACCTAACCTAGAATGCCAAATATAAAACAAAGAGGACTTATTGTTTAAACAAAAAGAAGACAATGCAGTAGAAAACACTTCTAGAGGAACATGCAAGCTGTCCAAGATATATAGTTCTCCAACTCTACGCCCGATCCCAATCTGCCTCTTAGATACCCGGTCCTGTGCAACACAATGAGAAGAAGAGAAAACAACATCAAGACTGGAATTACATAATTGACTAATAGAAATAAGACTGAGTGAGAGGTGAGGCACATAAAATACAGGAGAAAGAGACAAATGGGAATAGGAAATAGAACCAACATAGTGTACAGGCATAGAAGAATCATTAACAGTAGCAATAATGATAGAAGAAGAAAGAGAGACACAATTATTGAGGAGAGATGCAACAGGGGTCATATGATGTGAACAACCAGAATCAAAGATCCACGAAGTATGGATATTACCTGAAGAGGATGAACCAGACAAACCGAACTGAGTGGTAGTCATAGCGGAGGTTTGGGACGAAAGATTTGGATTGGCCACCATGAAAGACTTGAACTGCTCAAACATAGACTGCATATTGGAAGATGGATCATTCTCAGAAACTGGTGCAGAAAAGGCGACAGATGAGCGAGATCCTGAAAATGTCGGCTTAGCGAATGGTGAACCAGATGAACAACCCTTGGGCTGCAAAAGTTTAGGACATGCATGTTTCCAATGGCCTTTCTGATGACAGAAGCTACACTCATCCATGGAAAACCGAGGCTTGGGCTTACCAGTAACTTGAAATAAATGAGAAGATAGGGTGGGCAAGAGCCGAGGAGTGGCAAAAACTGACTGGGAAGCAGGAGTACCATGAGCCACCTTAAACCGAGTTTCTTCCGCAATAAGCTCACGGACAGCACCATCCACAGAAAGCAAGGGAGACCGATGAAGAATAGCTCCTCGAAGTGGCTCAAATTGATCACGAAGGGCCATGAGAAATTGAACAAGATGTTGTTTCTCCCGATACTTGATATAACTGTCAAGTAACTGCAAATCGGACGGTTCCATCAAAGCAAGCTGATCCCAATAAGTAGTCATCTCATTGTAGAACTCCTGAATGGACTTATATTTCTGACTAGCACTGCGAATAGACATCTCAAGTTCATACTGTTTTGCAAAGTTAGACTCAAGGTACATAGTCTTCAAATAGTCCCAAACTTGTTTAGAAGTAGAATACTTGGAAAAATTCATACCAATGGTAGTTTGAACTGAATTATGAAACCAAGTAAGAATTTGTGCATTTTCCTTATCCCATTTAGCAACATCGACCTCAGTTTCTTGAGATTTCACAGGTCTAATAGTCATACCAATAACATAGTTCCACATGCCTTTACCCATTATAAAATTTTTCATTACATGAGACCAATATGAATAATTGGTACCATCTAATTTAGTAGTAATAGCTTGCAATTTATCGTCAGCCATATTGTATACCCAAACTACAGTGCATTCAAAACAGAGTGAAAGGCAACAGAGAAGAGAGAGATGAATGACCTGTCAAGAGTAGTAATGCACTCTTCTCATAACCACGGCAAACTATAAACCAGAGACCAGTGATGGAGGTTCACTTTTTACGAGAGCTAGGTCAGAATAGAGAGAAGATCAGCGAGATACCCAACCTAGGTCTCCGAATGAACCAGGGACCAGTGATGGAAGCTTCTTAGGGTTTCGATTGAACCAGAACCAAAACCAGCAAGTGAGACGAGCTACTTCGATGATGACCTTGCGAAGAGAGAGATAGAGCTGCGAGAAGAGCTGCTTCGATGACCTTGCAAAGAGAGAGACAGAGCTGCGATGGCCCTGCGATGAGAGACAGAGCTGCGATGTGCGATGAGAGACAGAGCTGCGATGGTCGATGATGACCTGTGAGGTATGCTACTGTTTGTAACCTTGCTCTGATACCATGATAACAGATGACAAAACTTGTGTATTTTGATTAATCAAAAGAAGTACAAATATATAAGCAATAGAATGAAACCCTAATAATCTAAAGTACTAAACTATCCTTAATGAATAATATAAACTACATAATTCACATACTCAATGCACCTATCTCCAGTCGATTGTGCCTTGAGTTTGTATGTTTTGAGATTCCAAACCACATAACTCAATTGGGAGCGTATTAGATATAAGGCAACAATTTTGACAATAAAAAAATGTCTTATAAACATCTTATTTTGCATATATTATATAGAAATAATGTTAATTAAGCTACAAACAAAATAGATATCCTTACATCTCTCGCTTTTCCAAGAAGTTGCATATGACTTCTTTGTGGTGTGACTACTTATTACAACTATGGTTTGAAAAATCTTAGTTGTAATCTAAGGACTGCTAATTACCCAAAAAAAAATAAAAAATAAAAAATAAAAAATAAAAAATAAAAAAATCTAAGGACTGGTTTTATATTGTCATTCCTCTAACTATAGGAGTGTGTCACTTAGCTTTCTCTTCTCAAGCTAAGTGTATGCTATGCTTCTTGTTTTGGTCAGTGATAGTAGTTGATCATACATTCCTTCCATGGCTACCTACCTATCTCATTCTTATGATATATTATTAGTGGCAGTGGCATCACCAGCTCCAACAGAGAGTTGTGAGAGGAGGAATATACAAGCTGAGGAAACAAATACAGCACCGGCGAAACAAGCAAGATCGAATCCAGTAACCAAAGGTATACTCTTGAATTTCTCCAACACTCCTACTTGCAGTGTCATCATCACAGCTTGCCCGATTTTCGACTTTGCTTCTGTAACCGACTTCATCCCCACCCACCTTGGAAGTGTCTGACAAAAACAAAAACAAAAACAAAATAAAAATCAAAGTTTTTTATACTTTTTAATTAACTGTTAGTTACCACAGTTTAAGCTTTCATGAGAGTACACTTTAATAACTTAATGGACTTGATTTTTTATTTAATAAATAAAGTTTAATATTCTAATTGTTGTGATGCACTTTAAAATTTTTTATTACAAATTTTTGTGTAATGAATTTTAAATATATCACTATGAAAAATTAAGGTTTTGGGGATCAAAATTTAAGGACAAAATTATTTTTTAGGGACCAAATTCTTTTGTTGTTTTTGAGACTAAATTTTTTGTCTAAAAAAATAAACATTTTGAGATCAAGTTATATTTTGTCCCTAATAGTATATTTATTAGTGACATTTTTCAAAATTTGTTAGCCTTATTTTTTTACTTTTCGGAACGACCTTTTAGTGACTATTCTCATGAAGATAAAAATTGGCCCTTAAATGTTTTTTGTAATTAAATTTTTACTTTTAGACACCAAAAAATTAAATTTCTGAAACTCTTATCTGTTATAGTGTATATATATATATAAAGAAAACTCTAATTAAAATCCGAATTAATGTCAAATTAGGTTCATATGCGCCAAACCCAGCGAAACTTACAAGCCCATAATTTTAAGATCAAAGGTAGGACTTCGGCTTTTAGAATCTAAGATGGGTCAGCGAAAGTGTGGCACATTGATTACTCAAAGTCCATAGCCTAACCCTTAAATTTTAGGGTCGGGATTGTCCGGCACAAACTGTGACCGAAGCCTAATTTAATTGAGCAAAATGTTATATTTACATTTGTAGGTCATTATTCTTAGTGACTTTGGATCCTCATATTGTTTGTTACAATTTATTCCACTCTTGTAATGCTATAATATCTTTATAATTTGAATTTAATATAATTTATCTTTTAATGATTTAGAAAATTGTATTTAATTTTAAATTTTAATTTTGACGAGATGATAAAATTAAAAAAGAGCATAGGAAAGAGAGTCAAGACAACAAAAAAAATGAGAACAGAAATTGTGTGTATACAATTTGGAGGGATGTAAATGTAGGAAACAAGTGGAGGGAGGCACCTTGAGATGGAAAAGTCCAAAGAAGTTTGAAGAGGGGAGCTGTGAACCTTTTCCTTTGAGATATTTTGAACCCACAAACATGGCATGCAACCCCATCCCAAATATCAGCATTGCTGTTCCTATGAGGAACATATCTGCATCAAATGATTCACTCATTTTCTATCACTAACAACACTACTATCCTACTACTACTACCAGTCATATATACATAGCAATGAATAAAGGAAAAAAGGGACAAATTACATTGTTAGTCCTTATACTTTGATCTTTGTATCATTTAATTTCTATAATTTCAATTAGCTCAATTTTGATTTTGAATTTATGATTTTGTCTCAATTTTATTTAATTGAATACAATTTTTTTTTTTTAAATATAAAAAATGTGCACATAAGTAGCATGTCATGTTTTAAAAAGTTTTTTTTTTTTTTTTTTTAATAAACAAAAATGGAACATTTATTAATGAGATAACTATACCGAGTATTAAGATATTACACAACAAAAAGGGGGAGGGGGAGCACAAATTATCATAATAGATCTCACCAACCCCAACTAATCTAAGATATTACACAACAAAAAGGGGGAGGGGGAGCACAAATTATCATAACAGATCTCACCAACCCCAACTAATCTTTTGGGTGCACACTAAAAAAGCCAGCTTTTTGGCTTTTCAATTTTTTTAAGCTAAAAAAGTTAATTTTTTTACCGAAAACAACCTAGTTTTTTTTATCAAAAAAACTAAAAATCCAAAAAGATAACTTTTTATCAACTTTTCAAAACACCACTAAATTGGCAATAAGAGAACACGGAAAAAGCCCCAAGCCTCCGAAAACCCTGAAACACCCAAACATTAACAGATCAAACCCATCAGCCAACATTACAACATACAATACAACTAGCTAGCGCCTTACTGACACAGCCTAATATGATTAAGATTCTCCATAATGTCATGCACTGAGTATGTACCTCCTTGATCAGATGTAATTTAATCCAAATAGCAACCCTCACCTTTACTGAATCAACAAGCTCTGTGAGTTGACATTAACCAATTTAGTGACTTTTAAAAAATTTTTTTTTTTTAAAAAAAAAAAAAATCTTAATTGGCATTATTAACTAAATCAAATTGATAGAAAATCTAATATTAAAAGTCAAAATCAAACTAATTAAAATGATAGGGATCAAAATAACATAAGGACTACTAATGAATTTTTCCAAAAAAAAAAAAAAAAGAAAAAAGAAAAAATGTGAGAGAGGGAGAGAGAGGATACCTATTGCTTCAATTAGTAAGTGCATCACGTCTCCGTGATCTGAACTTTGGGACAATGAATTAAAATAGTGGAAATAGGATTCTAGAACCATGAAACAACCCTGGAATTACATTGTGAAATTAACATCACAGGCACATCAGAAAACAGAGGAAACGACAAAAGAAAGACATTATTTTCTTCCCAATTCAATTTGAGAAAACAAGTAATTAAATTCATGCATGTTATATTCATTATACACCTCCACAAAACACAATATTGAACCAACTAAGGATCCCGCAACAGCGAACAACGTAAAAAATCGACAGTCGATAATAACCTGCACAATATATAACAATTCGTGAGTTAAAATGAACAGATGATATATAACAATTCTGATAACATCAAGGTAATAATTCACTGTTAGTTGATTCAATTCTCATGGGTAGTAGTACTCCCATTTTACAAGCTGATAAATAAATACTCCCATTTTACAAAAGAAACAGAAGAAAATTATTATGTTATACAATGATATCTTTCTTTCAAATGTATTCCAAATTTATTAATACAAATTGTGGATACAAATATGGAAAATGTTTGAGGATCACAATTTTTGTGGCCACAATGGCTCAAAACTGTCAAAACGATGTCGTTTTGGGTGCAAAACATGCAAAAACGACGTCGTTTTGGCAGTTTTAGCTATTGTGGCCACAAAAATTGTGGCCCTCTAGCATTATTGATACAAATATAGTTCTATGTGTATTTGGTATGTTTAAACATAATTCTATCTTGGAAATAATGTCTGCAACGTTAAAATATGAAACTACATCTAAGTTTTGTACCTTATAGTTTGTATATTTAGTGATATATATGTCAATGTCCCCAAAATTATTCATATGTTTGTGTATTTTATCATTTATAAAGAAAAACTTCAACAAAAGAAGTGTACTTGGTGCTTGTACGGAAATGAAGAATCATGTAGACACCATGTTTTTGTGCTCAAATCTCGTTCCCTATCATTGTCTATAACGTAAGAAGCTGGGCCTTTTCCCATGCATTTATTTTCTCTGATCATTGGTTAATTATATCTTTTATACATCACTAATTCTAGGAAGTAGATTTCTCTATCATTTTCTAATAAAAAATATGTTTGACCAACTTTTTTAGAAAATTTTTTGGACACAACTTACATTTTAAAGAACACTAAAAAGATATTTATAATTTTTTAAAAATAATCTTCACACAAAAAATATAAAAATAATGAGTGTGTTATTGAATTTTTAATTATTTTATTTATAAAGTACAAAAAAACTAAAGCAAAAAACAGAAACAATATCAAACATGCCCGAGTTTCTCAGTGTATACAGTTAATTCCATTTATCTTATTTTGTTGTAAAACTCAAATATAGTTATTGAGTTGTTTTGTTATTTGTGTTTTTATGTTTCTATTAAAAAAAAAAAATTCTTCATATTTTAGTTTTATTTTATTTTTAGATTCATCTAAGTTAGATATACTTAAAAAGTAAATAAAAGATATGTAAAAAAGTATAAAAAAAAAATTACTAAAAATGAAAAATTAAAAACAAAAAACAAGATCGAATAGACTGATTCAGACAATACAGACTAATTTGTTATGCCTTATTAATAATCAAACAATTAATACATATACTCTCATATAATTAATATCTGGCCAGTCCAAGTTTATTTAATCAGCTCAGAAAATCATTAACAAATAGAATTTTTATATACAAAACACATCCAAAATATTTGGCTTTTAACAAATTTCAAATTATGAGGTACGATTGGGGTATTAAAAAATTAAAATAAATAAATAAACGTACCCTTTCAATGAGCATTTGGGGATGTAATTTCCATGGCCTTGGTTTAGTAACGACCCTTAAGACCAGAAGGGCCGTAAAAGCAACCTTTGCAAGCAGAGAGGCCATACCTATTTCTCCTGCATTTGTTTGGTGCGGCGGCTTTGAAGTTTTTAGGACATTACTACTCTCTGAAGCGGCCACAGACGCCTTCACCACCACCACCGACTGTTTCTTCTTCTTGCTTAGCCACTGCTTCTCTTCTTCGCATACACACCTTATCATGACAGTCGTCGTCGATGACAATGCCAAATTATTGAGTTTTTTTAGACCAGTAATAGAGGAAGAAGAGGAAAAAGAAGAAAGACCAAGACCCAAAGGCCTAGAACTACTATGTAGCGATATTAATCTGGTGGCAGCCATTGTTGCTGCTCTGCGTTGGTAAGTCTGATGAGATTAGGATGGATTAGTAGTTTGGTGGGTTTTGGGGGTTGCTGTATATTTATAGCTGTGGAAGAGAGAGAGAGAAGATTCGAGGCATAATCGCTGGAGCTGTCTTTACGCAGGGGACGGGAAGAGAGAAGTTATTTGCTGGTATTAGGGTGCAACTTCGATGGGATCAACCGAATAACTCGAATTCAGCTTGAATTTTTTTAGTATTTGGATAAGATATTTTTAAATTCGGTATGAATTTGGATAAAAATTTAGAAACTCGAATTAAATTTGGACGGACTTAGGCAAAGACGTCAAACAACCTGAGTAACTCGTAGCCCTAAATTATACATATATAGATATATAAAAATATTAAATATACATATAAATTATTAAACATTACATGATATTAAAGTAATTTAGATTATTAAATCCTATTGAATATATATTATATATACAAATAACATAAAAACTTACTTATTTTATTTTTACTCATAAATTGTAAAGACTATTATAGTAATATCTCTCTTACAGTATATAAATTATTTGTTTTGATAGTATTAATGATTTTTTATAATAAAAAAAAATGTAAATATAGTCAAATTTTAATGATATAGTTACAAAAAAAAATAAAAAAAAAACTGAAATTCATTTATAATTCGGAAAATTTGGGTAACTTGAGCAATTTAGGTTTAATTCGGTCGCGCTTGAGCAAACAACTTCGGATTACAATTCAAGCCTGGACAAGTCTCAGCATAACTTGGATTGAGTTTAAACAATCTCCCAATTCAACCGAATCCGCCGGAATTACATCCTTAGCTAGTCCTTAGGTACTACTATCTGTTGGTTCATGTGTGTTTTGATTTGTGAAGAAAGTGTGACTTAAGATTTTGTATCGAATAATTAAAAAATAACATGAACATGGTATATGATAATTAATGAGGAACAGGAACACGTGGTCTTCCGGAGCACCAAATAATTTTTCACGGGAGGGAGTAACTTCGCGGCCTTTTACACTTTTCTTGGAGAGGTAGGTTTTGAGTTGAGTTGCCGATCGTCGAACGTTCCAAATCCATGACTCTTGTGTACTGTTTACGTGTATGTGCTGAGCTCAGCCTGTGGGTCCAATGCAGTAAGAGCCGAACACCTGTAATATTTGGAATTCTCTATTAAAAAATTAAAAATATATACTTTATAGATAGTGTAAGTGAGATTATTAATTGATAATTAGATAATAAATGAGAGAAAATGGATTGAGATCCTCTCTATTCTAGGGTAGTAATGAAGGATATCATTGAATTGTAGGGGATTTATTAATAAGTGAACTTATCGTTCAATAGGTCCTGTGAGAATTAATGACATTTTTCATCAAACATTATTAAAAAAGTCACTAATTATTAATTTTCAGTAACAATCTAAAAATGCTTATAAAAAATGTTACTAATTATAAATTGAGCGACAGTTTATTAAAAAAATTGTCACAAAAAATATAACGAATTTTTAACTTTAAGCAACAATTTGACAAATTCGTCACAGGAAAACGTCACTAATTGTAAGTTTTAATAACAATTTATAAAAATCGTGACAAAAAGTCATTAATTGTCAATTTTTAGTAACATATGTAAAAAAATCGTCACAAAAAAAATAATTTTAGCGATAATTTTATTATGACTTATTTTCAGTAGGATTTGATGAGAATAAGTTTACCCTTAAATTATCTAAGGATTGTGAAATAATCATGAAAATATATTAATATTTTAATCAAATCCTTAGATAATATAATATAGATTCTCCATTACAACTTCGGAATAGAGAAGATCACAATCTACAACTTTGGAATTGAGAAGATTATAATTACAAGAAAGTTTCCTTAGATATTTTAATTAATTATTACACCACTAAGTAAAAAAACTAGTCTAATTTTTAGATTAGAATAGAAATCACGTAAATAATTTATTCGCTATACTCAACACATAAATCAAATTATCAAAACTTTTTACCAAAAAAAAAAAAAAATTCCCCCTAATTTTTTTTAAGAAATTTATTAGAAAATCTTTTTTCAAGTGTTTGTATCTTAACTAGTCCTTACGATATTCTTATATTTCAGTAAGTCCTATTGAACATTTGATCTACCAATGCCTAATTCTCTTATTTAAGATATTTTGTGGATATTTCTACCTTTATAAATATTTTTTAAACGGTTAGTAATTTGGTAATGTGAACATTCATATTTTACAATGTGAATATTCACATTGACGTGTGAATGCTCACATTGATAGTGTGGACATTCACATTGACATGTTAACAATGTGATTCAGATTGACGTGTGAATGTTCACATTGACATGTTAACATTCACATTGATAGTGTGAACATTTATATTGACAATATGAACATTCACATCACAGAACATTTACATTGTAAATGTGAATATTATTAGGGGTATTTTGGTAACTATGTCACCCATAGAACTTAATAGAATATAAAAAAATAATGTGGACTAAATGGAACATAAGTAGGTAAAAAAGGATTTATGAAAAAGTGCTCTATTTTTTTTTATCAAATTAAACTAAATTAAATTAACTGTTGTGTTCCAAAGGGATCAGTTACAAGAATGTGCTGAGCTCTGCAGATAGAGTGCATGTTTGGTAGAGCTTAATTTTAGTTTCACTCAACTTTAAGATTATTTTAAGTTGTTTTGGTGTGTATGGTAGAGCTTAAAATCACTTTTTGTAGCTTAAATTAAGCCAAAGAAGTAATTTTTGGCTGAGTGGCCTTCAGGGTCCTTTTGAATTGAGCTTTAACGGGAAGCTACAAATTGAGGAGCAAAATTACTTAAATGCCCCTAGTCAATGTCAACTATTACCAAAAACCCAACTAGATAAACCACATATTCTCAAACACTGTTCACTTGAGAGAGAGAGAAGAGAGGCGATTTTCGACAAGGAGGCGATTTCTGGCTGGAGATTTTTGGCAAACAAACCAGAGTTCTCTCTTTCTCTCTCTCTCTCTCTCTCTCTCTCTCTCTCTCTCTCTTTTATGAACTAGAGGGGGTGGCTAGGGTACGATTTGTTCCGTCGTAGCCTCCTGTCACCACAGCCATCGACGGTGTGATCACGATTTGAAAACCTAAAGTTCCGTGATCTTGCCGGCTTCGCGAGATAACCTAACGGTAACGAACCAGAGCTCTCTATCTCTCTCTCTTTCTCTTCGCGATTTGGCCAGACAACCAAGCTAGGGTTCTGGTCGCGATCTGGTCGAACCAGAGCTCTCTCTCTCTCTCTCTCTCTCTGTCTCTCTATCTCTCTCCTCTCTTCTCTTCTCTCTTCGTGATCTCTCTCTCTCACATCTCCAGTGTTGTTTTGACGTCGGCTAGGTCATCAACGGTGACAGTGAGCCATCTTCGGCTTGTACCCAACATTAATATAAAAAATATGCATATAAAATAACAATTTTTATATTAAATCACACTAAAATAATTTTTATATTAAATAACAAATAATATGTAATGAAATATAATATAAAATATGTAATGAAATATATATTAATTGGTATTAATTTTAATGAATTAATAAATTAAACAAAATTAACAAAGAAAAAAGAAAGAGAAAAAATGAATTGGTATATTTTGTGAAATAATAAATTGGTATATTTTGTAACAATTTTTAATAAATTACAAAAATATCAATTAATATTTTAGTTTTTTTATTTTTTTCGGGAGGTTTTCAGTGTTTTAATAATAATAATAATAATAATAATAATAATAAAGCATTTTAGCCATCAATGAAATAAATTTTATATTAATTGATACTAATTAATAATTTTAGTATTAATTGATGCTAATTAAGCCATTAATTGACACTAATTAATTTATAATGAAAAAATGAAATAATTTTATACTAATTGATACTATTAATGAAAAGAATAATTTTTGTAATACTAATTATATTAACTTTTATTAATGAAATAATTAAAAAAAAAATTAAAACAGAAAAAAATGACAAAATAATCATTTTTATATCATATAAGGGCAAAAAGGATAATTACACAGCAAAAAGTTATTTTACAGCTTATCAACGAAACACTACTTTGCTGCTTAAATTCATAATCCCGCAGCTACACCAAACAGGTTAATAACTTATGTTCACAGTTATAAGCTATAATATGTTAAGTTATAATCTATAATCACTTTTTCACAGCTCTACCAAACAATGTTACTTTTTATCTGTGGTCATTTAGCTCATGTTCTCTTTGACTCTGGTTCCACTCATCCTTTTGTTGCACCACACTTTGTTTCCAAGTTAATACCAACACCCGAACCCTTAGGATATGTATTGTCTGTATCTTTTCCTTCTGGTAATTCTGCCCCTAGTATTGATGTGTACAAATCTTGTACTGTATCCTTAAAAGGTGAAACCTTACACGTAGACTTGATCCCCCTCTGCGTTAGTACCTTTGATGTGATCTTAGGAATGGATTGGTTGGCAGCCAATCATGCCTCTATCAATTGTGAAGCCAAAAAGGTCTCCTTTCGGTCACCAAACCAACTCGAGCTTGTCTTTGATGGAATTGGAGTCTCTCTCCCTCCATGTGTTATATCCTTCAAGATAGCCCAACGGCTTCTAAGAAAGGGTTGTTGTAGTTGTATCTGTTATGTGATCGATACTTAACAAGAAGCCCCCATACTTGATTCAATCCTTGTGGTTCGCGATTTGCTATATCTATTTCTTGAAGACCTACCTGGTACTCCGGTTGACCGAAAAATCAAATTACCCATTGAAACCCAACGTGGTACACAACCAATCTCAAAAGCCCCTTACCACATGTCCATGACAGAATTAAAAGAGCTGAAGACTCAACTCCAAGAACTACTAGACAAAGGTTTCATTCGACCTTGTGCCTCAACTTGGGGAGCTCAAGTGCTATTCGTAAAAAAAAAAAAAGGATGGCATGATGAGGTTATACATCGATTACCGGGAGCTAAACAAAGTCACCATTAAAAATCGGTATCGTCTGCCACGAATTGATGACTTGTTCGATCAACCGCAAGGCGCCCAAGTATTCTCGAAAATTGACTTGTG